AATAAGGAGTAGATGGAAATAAACACATATTGATTGATTGATTGATTGATTGAGACAAAGTCTCACTCTGTTGCCTCAGCTAGAATGCTATGGCATCAGCCTAGCTCACAGTAACCTCACACTGCTGGGTTCAAGCAATCCTTCTGCCCCAGCCTCCAGGTAGCTGGGACTACAGGCATGTGCCACCATGCCCGGCTAATTTTTTCTCTATATATTTTTAGTTGTCCAGCTAATTTCTTTCTATTTTTAGTAGAGACAGGGTCTCACTCTTGCTCAGGCTGGTCTCGACCTCCTGAGCTCGAATGATCCTTCTGCCTCGGCCTCCCAGAGTGCTAGGATTATAGGAGTGAGCCACCGAGCCCGGCCATAAACACGGATTTAATTGCCTACTTTCAATAAAAAGTTTCAAGCAGTTAACATGTGTTTGTTTTAAAATTTCCACCTTCCTGGCCCCCAAAAGATCAAGAATTTAACAACCACCAGAGCCTCTGGTTCCTGGAATATACTACAGATTCATTCTCATGAGGTAGGTTTGTCTCCATGATACTAGGCGGAATTCTGGGCACCAAATAGTTAAGTGAACTTTTCAGAGTCACCTTAGAAATGAATAATGGCAAAACCAAGGCAAAAATCCAAGACTTTATACTGGTCTGTACTGTTGATATTTTTAGTCTAAATTATTTTTTACTTACTAATTGCCATCAAGAAGCTGAAGCAGGCCAGGCACGGTGGCTCACGCCTGTACCTAGCACTCTGGGAGGCAGAGGTGGGCGGATCGCTCGAGGTCAGGAGTTCGAAACCAGCCTGAGCAAAAGCGAAAGCGAAACCCTGTCTCTACTAAAAATAGAAAGAAATTAATTGGCCAACTAAAATATATATAGAAAAAAAAAATTATCCAGGCATGGTTGCGCATGCCTGTAGTCCCAGCTACCTGGGAGGCTGAGGCAGAAGGATTGCTTAAGCCCAGGAGTTTGAGGTTGCTGTGAGCTAGGCTGACGCCACAGCACTCACTCTAGCCTGGGCAACAAAGTGAGACTCTGTCTCAAAAAAATTAAAGAAGCTGAAGCAGGGTAAAGTCATTATGGATTTGGATCTGCCTTTGGTACTGAGAACAGAATGAAGTGGGGGAAGGAAACCAAAACTATTTACAGCTTTATGTTACAAACATTGGCAGCATTAACTTTAGGTTATACAAAGCTGGAATGCCCAATATATTTCCCCTGATAACTGTGATGGCTATCTTTTGAGCCTGCATTGGTCAGTTTTGTCCAGTAGAGGGCTTGGCCATTCTCCTCTCAACCATTCTCTACTGACAAAAGAAAATGGCCTCTCCTTTGACCGTCTGTAAGAATCTCTGAGGACTCTTGCTGCACTTCAGAAAACTGAAAAGTATCATTGGCTTACTAAACTTTTAATGGACTTGGAGTAAGTCCAATAAAAAGAGAAACAAAATTCAGGGTGAAATTTACAATAATAATTAATAAAAAACTATGTACAAAGATGAAAACTGGAAATTCAGGAAATATAATCTCAAATAGTTACAAAAGCATCAATAAAATTCTAAGATTATTTCCTTTTTAATTCCTTTAAAAAGACGTAAAATAATCTAATCAAATAATCTATAGTTTCATTTGTGTTTTTTTTAAATAAATGAATAGTTCATACTTAAGCATTTGTTATTTCATTAAAGAAAGTTCTTGTCACACATAGAGGAGAGTACTTATGATGATCACTTTCTGAGTTACAGAATATCTCTGCAATATTTCAGGTTGATTTCAGGTCTCTCTTTTCATATTCTGAGTGAATCAATAAATATGCTTATTATAGTATAAAATATTTGTTATGAATAGACATAGCCTATGACATGAAAAATATATATGCACACCAGATTTTTAAATTTAACTCAGTCCTTGCCTCTTTTCCCATTTTTTAGGGAAAGCCTTTAATGATAGAGTAGCAGTTTTCAGGAAAAACCAGAAAATTATTTCTACACATCTCCAGAGACAATTGATCAATACTGGTGGCTGCTGAAGGACAAAAGATTCTTGGCTTTACTGTTCTCTCTTTTTTTTTTGTGCTAAGAGGACTTCTCAAAAATAAAAAGTCTTCTTTAGAAGTTTCACCTGCTGAAAAGCATTGAAAAGTAAAACAAAATTCAGTAATCTCAGTTTGATAACCCTATAAAACCCAGATTTCAAAACAAATATTTGAGACATTAACCAAATCATCCATACTGGTACATTTGAGTGCCATAAAAAGCAAGCTACATGCAAAGTTTCATTAATATTGAGGTAAAAAATGACAGGTTAGGCATCCAAGTTATGTTCTGAAGAGACAGTGTTACTCATATTTACTTCAGGGAAGTCTTATAAATCAACATGCAAACAGGACACATAATTTGTCACAATAGAACTTTAGCTCACAAGGCCATTGATTAAAAACAATTGATTTCAACATAAGTGCAAGAACAAACAGGTCTGAAGTGTATCAAGAAAACAAAGTATATCAATATACATTTTAAGCTTATCATGATGGCTAAATATTGCTTCTAGCAATATAATTACTTAAGCCATAAAGAAATAACACAGTATTTAAATTCAGAGAAGTGTTTGTTTTTGTACAGGTTTTGAATAAATTTATATTCCAGGACGTTTGAGGATAGGTTGAGCAGTCTGGGGAATTCAGCCCTGGCTGGAGGCAAAGGGGCACCAGCACCATTTTCCTTAAATCATATTAACACTCTATTTATGAAAAGATGGCATTTAACCTTGGAAGATCTCTTCTATACATTAGGCAGGATAAAGTCATCGGTCCCAGCACACTCAGAAATAGTTAATGAAAAGGCCACAGAAGTCAAAAGCCCTTTTCCAGAAAAGGCCTTTGTATATACTGGTTTGATATTCTCAGAAAAGGAGTGGTTATGGATTTGTGGACTAAAATGTTATCATTTTTAAGGCTTTTGAAAGGTTAGCAAGTTGAATTTTTTCTTAAACTACAGAGCCCATGCCACACAAATGACTACAGAAGATTAGGAAAATATTCCATTAAATGTTTCTAGAGAGTATCCTGGTTTGTGTGCGAAATTGGATAGGGGGGCATAGCAACAGTTAACAATAAGAACATGCAGGATAAAAGAGTTAAAGCTTTTGGGAAAAGTCCCAACCTGCCATATGCTTAAATCTGATTTGTTTAAATTGCGGTGCAGAAAACCTGGCTTAGACAATCCATTGCTACTCCTTTGTACCCCACAATACATACTCTACAAAGAGTAACATTTTATTGACAGAAAAATGATCACAAGAGCTTCCCTAGGACAGTGAACTATCAAGATCAGAAGGCATCATACAAGGGATAACACAGTTGAAGCCAAGGACAAAAGTTCAATGATCTTTTTAGTCTTGACATTTCAGACAAGCACCCTGTTTTCCAATCACAGAAAGACCAACCACCAAACAGCCAATACAAGGACCACGAGAAAAGACATCATGAAAGGAATACGAGGAGATGGAAAAGTATTAAAGTAGAGGTGGCACTTTTTGAGAGACTTGTGATCCTCAGGGATTGGAATAGAAACCTTGGGAAGAATTTCTTCATTTTCTTGCTGGGGCAAGGCTCTTTCAGTAGATCTCTCTTGCCTTTTAATTTTCTCTTCATCCTGTACTAACAGAGCACGTTCCTGTGTCTGCTTTCACGGTAGAAGATCAAGAAAGACAGAATAAGATGAACAAAATGACAGATGGAAAATGCTCAAAAATGATACTTGGGAATGTGCAAAGGATTTGGAAAGATCTTTTGGACACTCTTTATTTTAGTTTTACTTTATTTTTTGCAATTTATCCTGGCAAAGTTTCTATAATACAACAGGGTGATCAATAGATAATTTTTTGAATGAATGAACATTAGAACTCCTGGAAGTTCAAGCAATCATTGGCTTTAGTTACATTATTTATTCCTCCTTTGAGGATATTCACATATGAATTTGGGGTCATTTTTATTGCTTTGGTACTGCCAATCATTAATTTGGCAATGCCAATAATGAAGCATTCTTCTTGCCATCAGAAAAAGTTATTTTTATTACAAATACAATGGCAGAATATAAAAAGTAATCCTTGCATCTCTTCACATAGACTTAAAAAACTGCAACAGTTCATTCAGCATGGCAATTAGCTTTTGCTTAAGGAATTAAAAATCTTAACCTTATGCATTTCAAAGACTGCAAAAGAAAAACAAAAGTATAAAAGTTTATAATGTGCCTCCAAGGTCTACCAAAAAAAAAAAAAAAAAAAGAAAAAACCCCACAAGATCTCAACAACTGCAAAATCTATCCCTGAATCATGATTAAAAATAATAATAACGACCATCATGAAGGTTTATACATTAAGCAAATACTTCTGACATTTTTAAGGAAAGTCTTTTCCCCCAATTGTCCAATTGAGAAGTTTTTCTCTATAATTTTTGTACTCTGCGGTCCATAGTCAAGGTAGATGTTATCTATGAAAGGAAAAACTTGGCTCTAAGTTCTCTCAGTTGAGCCAGCCTTCTCTGATCAGTTTGGAAGTTCAACACCGGTTCTTTGCACACCCCTAAGTGATATGTATCAGGGAGAAAGTAGCTAGGGGACTGGTCAGCAAAAAAGAAAAAAGAAAAAGAAAGGATGCAAAATTATAATGATTTTTAAAAGAAAATAAAGGAGGAGAAGAAAGACAACATAAAAAGAATAGGGCATAATTAAATTCATTTTCTCTCTGAATACATATTTACATCTTCATGCAGCTTTTTAACCAGCCATGCGCCGAAATAAGCAAATTGAAAGCTGCAAAAGCTGCAGTAGTGAAAGTGTTATGAGTTAGGCCAAAAGGCTGTGGATGTGAATTTACTAGTATAGGCAAGGAAAAAAAATTGTTTAGCAGCTGTTGTTCAGTTCTGGGGAGATTATCTGCTTGGTGCCATGACAAGAGCAAATTCTGACTGAGAAGCACAAATCATAACAGCAGCTTTACCTCTGGCCCACCAACCTTTCTTTCCGAGTGAAGGACAGAGGTTTTCTTCACCTGGTCATACACAAATTATATAAAATTCAGTTGCCTTGCAATGCAACAACAATGTTGTCAAAGGTGGAAGAGGTATCCCCAGAGAACAGAAATATTATCCTAATTATTAAAGAAAAAGTAAGATATGCCAGAAAGGGGAATTATCCCAATATAAAAGGTCACCCACAGTACAGTTCTTATTTATTCCACCATTCCTTTAGAGGGATAATAGCATAGACCTAAAATTGTTCAAGTACTCCCCATGGATCTAGTTGAGTTTATAAAAAGTAATTTCTTTAAAGTACAGAGAATGACATCACCATTCCTAAAACTGGCCTTGAGATGATTTCTGAAGGATTTCTATTAAAAGACATAAGATATTTTCTGGAAATGGAGACCGATGCAAATTTACCCAACCTCATCCAAGAGAGTACTTTTTGAAAGTAGTTAAGCATCTTTTGTCACTTGCATAGAGTCAAAAAGAAAACTAGAAAATATACAGTTATGGTTTACAGATAGAGTTAACCAGGTGAGATAGCAACAGGGCATTTTCTCATAGAGTCATAGACTTATAGAATTTCAGAGTTAGCAAGGACCTTAAACATCATCTACTCTATAAACTGAGGGCCCAATAAGATAAATTACTTGTTCAGAATCATTCTGTTAGCGAAACCCTCTCAATTAAATCAAGTCACAACTAATACTGCTAGACCCTTTATGAGCCTTCTTATTAGTGACACATCAAAATGAAATATCTGGCTGACAATGAAATAACCCCAGAAAGTGGGGCTATTGTCTCAGTTCAGAGTACACGCTTTGGATTTAGAAAACAAAACTAATGTCCCTTGTATCAGAAAATGTAGGCTTAGAGAACAGTAAGTAGGAGCAACAGTGCTCCTATCATCCCGGGTAACTCTATTTAGCTGCTCATCTTTCAGGTATTCTCCAGCCTGAACTTGTGAAACTGATTCACCTCTGGAGAACTGTCAGCCAATTTTAACCACACTTTGGAAAATACAAAAAGTATTCATTGTGAACCAACTTTTATCACCTTCTCCAGTTCCAGAAACTAAACAATAATTTGGATAGTTTACCATGAATTCTGAAAATTTAAAAAAAAAATCCAGTTTTTAAATTAAGACATCACCTTACCTTTCTTAATTAGAATTGCTATTGTTTTGGGGGGAAACGAGCACCTGACGTCTCAATCATTACAATCACTCACTGAGTCATTGCAACTATTTGTATAAATATTTAACCTGTACTGGCTAAAGATAAAGACTTTTTGGATATATGCTCAAGGTAACTTTTAATTTCATTTTTAATGAACAGATTTATTTATTTATATGTAGGATTTCTAAAACAGGTAATGATAACAATAATAGAAAAAGAACAGCTCCTGAAAGATACCTCTGTCCTTCTCTAATTGTGACTGTCTTACAAAACAGTATATTAAAAGTTTGACGTTACACATAAAGATAAAATAAAACATCAGTAGTTTTTCTAAAATCAAAATATGATCATTAATACTTGGTGTTCTGTGTTCTCTGGCTTAGGAGCCTCCTTGGTTTAATATATACTTGTGAGCAACCATTCCAGATACTTCTAAGTTGTGTAAGTGTTCAAAAAAGTTTTAAAAAATGGTAATCCTTTCTAATTTTGACCTTACTAAATTTAGTAAACTTTCTGGTCCTTGAAGACATAGTTTGAATATAAACAAAGCTCTATTGGCTTATGGTCAGTTTATAAACACATATTAGTCGAAGCATGTAGCTGCAGAGACAGTTCTCAGAGCCTAATCATCTACTGGTAACTCTAAATGGCCTCCATAATTGGACTGGGTAGCCTACCTGACTTAAAAAATAAATGCTTGATTATGAATGCCTTAAAACTAAAATGAATTTGTCAGGCATCAAAGCCAAATCTGAGCTCTAAGCTTTCTCTTTTGTACAGAATACTAATATACAAAAACATTTATTCCATTCCTTCTCACAACTGGTCATGTCAGACAAAGTACTCACTCCTTCGCCTGTGGGGATTTGCCCGTTGATGTTAAGCGTTCGGAAGGGCGAGTGAGTGGATAAACGTTTATCCCATTCACTAGGCCGTGGTTCTGGTACAGATTCCATGAAGTTCTTTTTCAGCTCACTGATGCTGGCATGATGCTTTTTGATCTCTTCTTGACTCTTATCTAAATCCTACAGTTGAAAGGACAAAGATGCAAAACAATAAATAATCAGGACAAAAAACACACCAAGGGCAACCCATCAGAGACTGGGCACTGGTAGAAAACACACCACATCCAGGATATATGTTACAAATCTATCAATTGCATTCTAATTGTAAATATACACATGGCATATTTGCTTGCTTTTTTTTTTTTTAAATAAAGTGCTTTTCTTGGAAGCAGTGAAGCATCACAACCCTACAGTTCTCAACAGTTACATAACCCCTAAATTTTATAATTATATAATTATAACCCCTAAATTTTATAATTATATAATTATAAAATTAAGCTCACCCCTTAATTTTATAATTCTCCTTCCCATTATGATGCAGTACCAGATCTCTCACTCCTCATCCCAAGGAGGTAACCCCACAACTCAATTAGCCTCAACTTGATAGGAACTGATTTAGGCTCAGCTCGGCAGGATGGAGATAGCAATATGAAAGATTCAACTTCCACTATTGGCAGTCTTGTCTTGGTGAGGTACAAATATATAGTAGCCCTCCTATTTCTACCTGGAGATAGTTTTGCTTCTCTATTACTAGGTGGCTGATTTTGCTTTTTGATAAACAGGAATAGCCCCCCCCCCCACCCCTTTTATTGTTTGAGACAGAGTCTCGTTTTGTTGCCCAGGCTAGAGTGAGTGCCGTGGCGTCAGCCTAGCTCACAGCAACCTCAAACTCCTGGGCTCAAGCAATCCTACTGCCTCAGCCTCCTGAGTAGCTGGAACTACAGGCATGCACCACCATGCCCGGCTAATTTTTTCTATATATATTTTAGTTGACCAATTAATTTCTTTCTTTTTATAGTAGAGACAGGGTCTCACTCTTGTTCAGGCTGGTTTCGAACTCCTGATCTCGAGCAATCCGCCTGCCTTGGCCTCCCAGAGTGCTAGGATTAGAGGCGTGAGCCACTGCGCCAGGCCAGGAATAGCCCCTTTTTAATATTAAAATTCATTACTGAAATTGCTAGTTAAAGCATCAAAAACAGGTTGTTATCACCTCTGAAAAATCACTCAGGAGTAAGTAATATAATGGCCTTTTTTGGGTCAATATTATTCACACAAACTAAAAGCTTTATGCTTTCCAATGTCTAACAGCTTCACTTCCTCCCTTAGTACAATTTGAAATAGAAACTTCTTCCACTAACCTTCAATGGATTAGGAGTTAACAAGAGTTCAAATACCTTTTATATCTTATTGACAATTTAAAGTAATTCAAGTGTTCCAGCAGATTTGAATACTGGGCAACCAATTTTGGGATGAGCTCTTAAAGGGGATATTCTAGGGGGAAAGGATCAAAACTAAGGTTAATAAAGTATGAGCTAGAAATAATATTCAGGTTTATGCAAAAGGAGGTATTTAATAACTTTCAAAAAGGAGACTTGACCAAAAATAGTCTGGCAAATATAACTTGAAGACAAAAAATCAAATGTTCTTTGTCCAACACTTCAAAATAACTTAAAAGATTCATGCTTGAGATCAAAACATGTGGGAGCCCATCACTTGATGACTGCAAAAAATTCTGTGTTTATTACATGTCAAGGCAGCTCTGTATCCAAGAAAAGCATAATGCTAAATATATCTCCTAATATGCTGGGTGAATTTTGGGATTAGTCTTTCCTTTTTGGCTCTGTGAGAAATAGCTGTGTTTTGGGGGAAAAAATCAGAATTCATTTCAATTAAAATTTGTTTAAAAGTTTTCTTGTGAGAGCAATATAGATTTCAACTAAATAAAGCTTTGCAAAAGCAATTCAAAGGGAAAATAGCATAGGAAAAAGAATCAGTGAGACATACGACATTTTGCTTCTAGAGGTATTCATTCAGAAAATTCATTTACTAGTCTATTCTTTTTATTTTTGCAAGACTGAACCATGGATATTTACACTGAGATCAGTCAAAGAGAAAACTAACCCAAAAAGGGCAATCCTGTAGCTCCCCCACTGTAAGAGTATCTTTTGCTTGCTGGGATGAAATCTAAGTATATCTTATGAATATGGGTTTCACCATGGGGAAACAACAGTTTGCACCTTTGTTCTAGCTGAAAGCAAGAAAAGCATGTTTACTAGCTAAAGAAAAGCATGAACAAGCCTGCTCAAAAACTGAAACCTACCAGGCATGTAAGGCCCTGTGACCCAGCTCCTGGCTAGAAATTAAATCTGTTTGGGCCAAGAACAACTTAACATGTTTAGATGAGTTAAAAGTGTAAATAGAGTAAAACAATAATGAGCAAGAGATGCTATGGTAAAATCATAACTCTCTGAGTTAGCTTATAATATGAGAGACTGGTGATTTGTTATCCTTCTTGCCCAGCTTTTGATTGGATTAGAACCTAAGAAAATAAATATTTCAATAAAACCAGTAGCTTCTGAGGGAGCTTTCTCCATCCTTCTTAGCTGGCTTTGTTGGAAACCTGTGGGGGCACAGAGTAAAATTAAGATCTCAAAGGGACCTGTTCCAAATAGAATTTGTCATAGACACTTGCTACAGATTCTCTCTGGGAGATGGAGGAGGAGGCGGTAGATCTAAAAATGAACTCGACCTTATTTGTGCCAGAACAAAGCATTAGTGGGGGCGGGGTAGGAGAAGGGGGGAAGAGGGATGCTTTAAAAAAAAAAAAAAAAAAACCTACTAGAGTGATAGATAATTTGAGAGAACTTCCTTAGGGGAGAAAAAAACTTTTTACAATAACTAAAGAATGATGGTCAAATTACTTTGGCTGTGTTAAGGTTAGACACTTTTTGATGACTATCATTTTATAATTTTAGCAGCAATCAAACTAAACAGTTCATTAAACATAAAATATTCTCAAAGGCAGTTAGTAGTTTTAATTTTCAAACACACACTTATTTAGAAATCCCCTCTCATGGCTATCAATGAATACTGGGGGAAATGCACCACACACAGGAACTCTGTGAGTCTCAGAAGCCATAACACACCTCATGGAGCAAATGACAAATATATGATTGGTACTGCAGGTTCCAGTTAAGAGAAGGCACTAAAGATGGACTAGTCAGTAAAAAAATATGTTTAGAATTGGATAATGCTACATTGCTGAGTAAAGGAGATCAACCAACATTTACAATCCTTCCTAATCTCTGAAGACTGAACCATTCAGGTCGAAATTCAGATATGTGATAAAACAATGAGACCTAGTTGTCAAGCTTGAACTATCCAAGGGTCTAGCCTTGGAAAACTTCATGTTAAAGCACTTGGTATTATGCCTGCCATGTAGTACATGTTTAATGAAGGCTGATAATAATTTTTATTACTTTTATCAATGTACTTTATATACAGAAGGTACTCAAAATATAGGTATTGGCAAAGAATGACATGAGGATAAGTAATTATCAGAGACCATATATTAAACAAGAGATCTATTTTTAAAAGTTTCTTCAAATTTCCAGTTTAATAAGATTTACCACATTTAATATATGGTCATCTTTCAGGTCTCAGCTAATGTTAAAATGTTATCTCCTCAGAAAACCTTCCCTATTCATCTCACTTAGATTCCCTTTGTCAGCACAGCAAACTGTTTATTTCCTGCATAGCTTATATAATAACTTGTTGCTTACCTTATTGCTATTTGTTTACTCATTTGTTGTTGTTTGTTTTTTTTTTTGAGACAGAGTCTCATTTTGTTGCCCAGGCTAGAGTGAGTGCCGTGGCGTCAGCCTGGCTCACAGCAACCTCAAAATCCTGGGCTCAAGCAATCCTGCTGCCTCAGCCTCCCAAGTAGCTGGGACTACAGGCATGCGCCACCATGCCCGGCTAATTTTTTTCTATATATATTAGTTGGCCAATTAATTTTCTTTCTATTTATAGTAGAGACAGGGTCTCACTCTTGCTCAGGCTGGTTTTGAACTCCTGACCATGAGCAATCCGCCCGCCTCGGCCTCCCAGAGTGCTAGGATTACAGGCGTGAGCCACCGCGCCCGGCCTCATTTGTTGTTTTTATTTTCCCCAATTCCCCACATTGTAAGCTTCCCAAAGGCAGGAATCATGTTTATCATTTTCTTATATATTTATATTTCCTTTATATTTAAGTTAAATTCCTGATATAAGAGTTTATACAGATTTCTTTCGGAATGGAGATGTAAATAATCAGGTCATCAACCTCTAATACAGTATAAGAGTTTTTCTGATGTATAAACTAACTTGGCATCAGTTTTTTCCATATAAAACAATTCTAGTTTCCTTAATTTTCCTCACAGAGTTCCCTAATCTTCTTTTTTTTTTATTGGGACAGAGTCTCACTCTGTTGCCTGGGCTAGAGTGCCGTGGTATCAGCCTAGCTCACAGCAACCTCAAACTCCTGGGCTCAAGCAATCCTCCTGCCTCAGTCTCCTGGGTAACTTGGACTACAGGCACGTGCCAACATGCCTGGCTAATCTTTTCTATTGTTAGTTGCTTGGCTAATTTCTATTTTTAGTAGAGATGAGGTCTCGCTCTTGCTCAGGCTGTTCTCAAACTCCTGAGCTCAAGCAATCCTCCCACCTTGGCCTCCCAGAGTGCTAGGATTACAGGCATGAACCACTGTACCCGCCCCTAATCTTCTAATTAGTTTTATATTTTCCTTTCCAGTGTGGAGCCCAAAACTAGATGAAGTATACTAATACATGTCTGGTAAAAATCTGACCAATGTTGCATATAATAAGAAAGTAACCTTACAATTCCTATAGCAGACAGTATATTGCTATTTCTGAATGGAAAACAATACAGTTCATACAGTCAAGATAGATCCTGTCTTAAATCCTAGCTTTACCAATTTACCAGCTCTATGGCCATTGGGAAATTACTTAATTTCTCTAAGCTTCAATCTTCCTATCTCTAAAATAATAATCCCATGCTCACAGGCCTATTTTTATGATTAAATATCTTACAGTAACTACTAATTAAATGCTAGGCTTCCCTCTTTCTTTCTTGTATATTACCTTTTTCCCTCTGAACATTCTTCATTTTTTTCTTAACTTTAATATTTTAAGTCCATCCAGAATTGTGATCATTTTCCCTACTTTTTTGTATACTCTAAGTTCAGAAAATGAAAGAATAGTGTAAATTTGCATCTTGGGGCATATAGAAGTTTATACCCTTAGAAAATTCAATGGACTTTTAATAATGATGTAGAACTTTCTAAAAGTGGGTAAAACAATGGAACCATGAGGTAGAGGTAGTCCCAATCATATATTTTTTCAGATAAGTACGAGAGATGGAAACTAAAAAGAATCAGAAGGAGAAATGATTGCGTACCTTCATGTTTACCAACATGCAAAAGCATTTTAAACCTAAAATTCTCTCATGCAATGGCATGCAAAACCAAATGCAGCACAGAATGAAGAAAAGGGGATCAGCAAAGAATGCAGAAGGTTCCAGGCAACCAACTGAAATAAGCTTCAAGTTCATACAAACCTCCAACATTAAATTGCTATGTCTGATATAAATGTTTTCACCATCTAGTCTTTCTCTCTTTTTCTGTGAAAATGAAAGGGGGAAAAAACAGAAAAGCATAAAAAATTAAAATGTTGTTCTTGCGGGAAAAAACTAAAAATTGGCAAACCAAAAAATATTTAAAATTAAATGTCCGCAGCACAGCATATGCCAACATGAAATGGTCAGAGAACCACAAGGACACACAGAGAACATGATTACCACTAGAAAACGATGACCTTGTTCATGAATGATGAAAGAATGTGATAATGTTATTTAAATAGACAGTGCTCCTGGCTTCATTGGCTTCTTATGTAACAAGCTGTTTTACGTTCATTTTTTAAATGGAACTATTTGAGGGTTACCTTAAAATATACGACTTTAAAAAGCTTTTTAAGTTCCATGTGGCATGGAATGAAGAAATGCTTTTAAAACATTATTTAGCTTTTCGGTGTATTTTATACTTAGTAATACTATAGATTAGATATCTAATATCTAATCCCTTTTATAAGTTAGATCTAAGGGCATTTTATACATGATCAGCCAATAAATATGCTCAGTAAGAACTGATTCATCCCACTCTGTAGATGAAAAGAATGAGGCACAGAGCAGTCAGACCCATAGTTATTAATATTAGCAGTACTGGGAGTTGCTGCTACAGTTTTTATGATAAATGTGTATAAAATATTGTCAATGAGTACAAGAATATGATGCCATTGTGAAACAGTTCTTATAAAGTTTAAATATAAAAGCTAGGTTTAACTTTCACTGATTATTTCATGTTTCTTAAAGATATTTTCCTACTAGAATGTTTATTTTAATGAAGACTTTCAATATGTGGTATAGGATTATAATTTCTTTGGTACATATATATGTGTGTATATGTGTATGTATATATGTGTTATTTGAAAGTGACTTCTGATTAAGAGAAATCAATGAAAAGAATGGATCACTGTCTTTTTAATGCATTATAAGTTCGTATGGGTAAGATGGCGATGTAGTTTTGTGAAAGTGAGAAATGTCTAACCTTCCTCATTCTTATCAGATCTTCAGTTTTTTCTGCAAGCTTCTGTTTTGCCATAATTAAAAAAAAAGAAAGAAAAATGATAAAATATTGGCTCATTGAAGTTTGTTTGAACCTTCATTTTATAATTTTTTTAAGGAGAAGGGAGTAAGGGAGAAAAAAAAAACTAAGGGGATGGAGGAAAAAAGGAACAAGTGGCTTGTTGGCACAAACCTGTGTTTGGTCACCATTTGAGGTGGGTACTGTGACCTCGATGTGGGTTTTTTCCACCTACATTTAAGAAATAAAGTTGTAAAAACATCTTAGGTTAGTAGGCTTCTATGAAAAGTATTGCTTTCAAATAAGCTGCATCTTTAAGTTGATATGTAATCATAATGTTGCAGTCTTATTGGGGGTGTTACAGGGAAGGATATTACTTCCAAAGCAATCTGTTAGTTTACCATCACACTTTCAAGGCTGAAGAGGTCATATGGATATCCAAATTGTCAAAAAAGAAAATCAAGGTAATTATTCTGTTGACAAAGAAAATATTTTATACTTATTTATAAAAAAGTACTCATTAAAAATAATTTAGGCATATTAATGCTACAGCCAAATTTTTATTTTGCCTTTTTTTTAATGATCTGGAAGTAATTTAAATAACATTTAAAAATAATTTATGAATGAAGATATCAATGTATGGCATACATGATAGTTAGAAATAAAAAGAAAATCTTTACAGTCAAAACACACATGTAATAAACCACATATGACACCAAACTGGTAAATACAATAGATTTTGTTAGTTGATCAATATATTTAAGAAGGCAGTGTCACCCTTCAGTTTATTACACAACAAAACATCAAAATAAACTCAATCCAAATTATAACTGACACATGCAATTACTTCCAGGGCTGATTTATAAATAAGCACACACAGGACTCAGCTGCAACATTCAACGCTGTAATCTCCTCTCTAGGGAACTGGAGCCCATGTGTTTTGTAGAAGAGCAAGATTCATCCTTAAGAGGGGAAAGAGAATAGCTAAGGCCTCCTACCTAGCTTTAGAATGCCTTTAGTAATGTCATTTTATATACAGAAAATGGAGTAATTATTTTTAAAAAGACATGCTATTAAGAGGAAGCATAATAGAGTGAGTAATGCATTAAAGCATTGGATATTTCAAATTAGAAAACTGATTGTTTTTATTAAGGGTTAAATCAATCACTTTGTATTATTAAGTTCTTTATAGAAACTCATCAATCTGTGGTTTTGACATTCTTTTCAATTACACTAAGCAGCATTACTTTGGAGTATAATGTCATTGTACTATTTTCTTTAGGACTGAAACTTAAGAAAACACCAAACTTTGTGACACTGTCAATCATAGGCACAGCTACAGCACTTTTAACTACCAGGGATAATTAACAATTTGGGTCATTTCTACTCTGAGTCCCAGCACACTTGCTGTGTGGCCATTAACAAGTTATTTCACCTCTCTGAGCTTAAATTTTCTTATTGATAAAATGGAGATAATGTCTTCCTGAAACTGTGTATACTTAGCAAATGGTAGTTTTAAATTATTTTATAATTTAAAATGTTATAAGGCTTAAATTCCTTGTTTAAATGAGTAATGATTTCTTTTTGCTTTGGGTCCTTAGCAATCCAACAGCAGGAAATTAAGAACCTTTACTTCTGTTTAAGAAATGAGGCCCAATAGCAACAGCAGTTCTATGTATGCCCCTAAACAGAACATTACATGAGATAAAGACATACATGGGGGAGAGGTATTACCTCTACACCTGCAGAAAAGACCTTGTCAAATGACCCAGGATGACAAAAAGCTTCTCTATCTGGCGAACTACTGTTAGATAATGAAATTTACAGTTACTAGACTACTTTATTATTATTATTGCTTTATACAATAAATACGGCTTCGGGTAAATGCCATAATTATTTTCTAATTGCTACAAATAAAATCTGCTGAGTAACTCTTAATTCTGCCATTAATATTATAGTAATAAGTTATCAGAGGTGGTTTTTACTCTCATTTTGAGATACATGAATATATGTATTTAGATAGAATTAATTGGCAAGAAGACCCCCTATTGGCACTTAGATGGAAAGCTTATACCAGGTAGTGATGCTTTACTCTGCTGAGGTCCACAAAACAAAAGGAACTTATTCTTGAATATATTTGTGTCTGTCTTATAGGCAAAACGAGAACAAGTAAGTTAGCAGAAAGCCAGAGGAATCTAAGCCACTCAGGAAGATTCCCCTGACAACTCTAGTAATCCAACACTTTCCAGTTAGCATTAACAAATGAAGGGCTAGTCAAAAGTGCCAGGTAAGATATTCTAACATTAAAAACTGAGAAGGTAGTCAAACATTAAGGCATTGCTGACAGTGAACATGATGGCCAATGTCATAAACATCTGGCTAGGCACAGAAATGATAACACCCACCATTCATTCGATCTGTTTTGCTCTCTGGACTCCTGGTTGTCTCAAAAGGACAGTAAACTGTATGCCATATTTAATAGTTGTTTTTTTTTAAACAGTTAAAACAGAATTAGACTGTCCACTGGTCTACAGATAAACTAGATATTGATCTGGCTCCAAAAGAACAGGATTAATTCATCTACCAAGGTGAGAGCACTTATTAAGGTTATACATGGTTTTAACTTTCTTAATAAACATATTCAACTGTACTTCTTATGAAGACTGCTTCTCATAATTCCTGGTGGCCACAGTAAGACCTATATTTACAATAAATATGAACTAGTATCTCAATTCCATCACTGCTTAGATGTGTTTAAAAGTTTATCAACACATAAAAGAGCAGTCCAATTACTGTTACTCCTTAGAAATCTATTACTTAAATTAGTGATTTTTCAACACAGTGAAGTGACTATGGTATATAATCAACTCAGAACCATGAGTAACTCAGCAGTATAACCTCTCCTACATAATGGATCTTCCCCTTTTTATAAAGCTACTTAAGATCTGAACAACCACACAGATGTGCTTTCTACAGCACCTATTCTTTGGAAATGTGCAGTCCATCTTATAAAATCAAATTATATTTTAATCACAATAGCAGACCTTACTCTTAAAAAGCAATGTGGAGATTTCTTCTGGATGAGTAAAAATTGTTTTAAAAAGCAAATGATTAGCCATGCTAGTGTGTTCTATAAGCACATTTTTAAAAACACTAAGTTGGGTCAAGGTGTGGGTCACCTGAAAACTTCTGGGATAGCCTATAGTCTTATTGATATAATTCTACGGAAATATTTTACAGGATCATGGGGTATGTTTTCATTCAGAAAGAATGAGGAATAACTTTGTTAGGATTCTACATGAATAATCAATTGCTTTGTAAACCTTCCTGGTCAAGGGGTTAAAACCTCTAAATCAGAAAGTGACGTGGCCAGATATTTGGACTTAGGACATACCTTCCATGCTTCTGTGGGCTCTGGCTCAGCTTGCTCAGGTGGCTCTTCTTCCTTTTTCACTTCAGCCTTCACTGTTTCCTTCTGTGCTTTGGGGGCCACTGTTTTTTTGACAGATGCTCCTGGGACACCGCCTTCTGTGACCTGACTCTGAGCAATGGCTGGTGCAGAGGTGGGCCGAGGACTTCGGTCTGCTGAATCAGCAGCTGCTGCTGTGGGAGAAAGTGAAAAGGAAAGAACAAGTCAAGGCAAGAGCCACCATACATACTTCTTTTCTTTCTTTCTTCTTTTCTTTTCTTTTCTTTTCTTTCCTTTCTTCCTTCCTTCCTTCCTTTCTTCCTTTCATAGACAGAGTCTTGCTCTGTCCATTCATTCATTCATTTATTTATTTATAGACAGAGTCTTGCTCTGTTGTCCGGGCTAAAGTGTCATGGCGTCAGGCTAGCTCACAGCAACCCCAAACTCCTGGGCTCAAGCAATCCTTCTCCCTCAGCCTCCCGAGTAGCTGGGAGTATAGGCATGCACTACCATGCTCGGCTAATTTTTTCTATATATTTTTAGTTAGCCAATTAATTTCTTTATATTTTTTTAGTAGAGACGGGGTCTTGCTCTTGCTCAGGCTGGTTTTGAACTCCTGACCTTGAGCAATCCTCTCTCCTCGTCCTCCCAGAGTGCTAGGATTACAGGCGTGAGCCACCACGCCCGGCCCACCATACTACTTTAAAGTCATCAGGCAAAATAACTGTGAATCCAGGACACGTACGAATATTACAAAGTCTAGTGTGCTATCATTCAGAAGGTAAAATATAAAACATTAGTGCTTTGCCACTTAACTGATGGCAATGAGAAAGCTAAATGTGCCCTAAAATGTGTTAACAATCATGTTCCATAAATGCTAAATTCAGGGGAGACAAGATCAAAGTAAGAAAAGAAATTGAGGCTGGGCGCGGTAGCTCACACCTGTAATCCTAGCACTCTGGGAGGCCGAGGTGGGTGGATCTCTCAAGGTCAGGAGTTTGAGACCAGCCTGAGCAAGAGAGACACCCCATCTCTACTAAAAATAGAAAGAAATCATCTGGACAACTAAAAATATATAGAGAGAAAAAATTAGTCAGGCATGGTGGCGCATGCTTGTAGTCCCAGCTACTCGGGAGGCTGAGGCAGAAGGATTGCTTGAGCCCAGAAGTTTGAGGTTGCTGTGAGCTAGGCTGATGCCACGGCACTCTAGCTTGGGCAACAGAGCCAGACTCTGTCTCAAAAAAATAAAATAAAGTAAATTGAAAACCTGTTAATCTTGTAATATGTTAGTTTCAAGAACTTGCAATGTTGTCTGTGGAGGGAAAAAAAAGGGTTAACTCAGTCTGGTTTCTTCCATGAAGACTTTTTGAAATAAAGATCTGTTTATTTTTAGGTGATTACAGGAACCTAAAAATATATTCTAGGAAAAAAAAATTAAGTCTGATTTCTTCTGTAAAGCCTCTTTGGAATGATTACAAAACAGTCTGATAAATGGCTCTTCTCATAAGACATGGACTATTTTTTGATGCTTATAAGGGCAAATCTTTGAATCAGATACTTTCCCTTTTAATAATAAATCATTTGATTAAAATAATATGAATTCAAAATCTTTGGCCTTCAGTCCTAAAAACAAAACAAAACAAAAAAACACCTTTTGAATTCTGTCCTACTGTTTCCCAGAATCTTACTAATTCATTCCTATTCCCTAATATATTCAGAACAGTGGTTCTCAACTGGGAGTGATTTTGCCCCCAGGGAACATTTGGCAATGTCTGGAGAAATTTTTGGTTGTTATACAACTGAGAGGGAAGAGAAAGAAGGTACATCTAGTGCACAGGGACCAAGGTTGCTTACGGTGAAAAACTTTGATTTACAGAAAAAGCTGTATAGGTTGTTTTTGTTTGGACTATTTGGCTTCTAAGTTTTAGACAGTTTACTTCAAAATTACTCATACTCTTTTTATGGTTTTTATCTTCATTCTTCCAGGGATTAAGAAAATGTCCATATGCTTTGTAGTAAGACCTCACTTATCTGATAGTGTCTAGGAATGAAGGTGTTTTTCCACATGATTTAATATTTCTGATAGCAGATCATTATTCTTTCTTGTACTAAGACTTTTACATTTTAATCATTTTACATGGAAATCTTAATTTTTATTAATACTTTCCTGCTTTCTTAAACTGACTATACTTAACAATTTATCCTGAAAAATTTAGATTTATAAGCTGTAAAAAGATTAGGTAAAACAAAGGAATTCCATAAATCTGAATAGATAAGAAATTCACTGAAGAGTGCATAGGAAAAACAGCAGAAACATAAGAATCTACTTTATTTTTCAATGAAAAATTTGTGGCCTCTTGCAAGTCCTTACTACTGATGGGTGCTCTAAGCAGTCAATGCAAGAATGACAGATGGCAGACCAACCCTAACAACATAGGGGGAGTATGACAAAATATTTTGCTCACAGTTGTGTTAAAGTATCATTATACATGTGTATTCACACCTCCTCTCAAAGAATTAATTCAATTCTGCTTGGCATCACAGAAACATAGCCCATGCTTTCACCATGTGTTATTTTGCCACTTGTCTTTGGTTTTAATCCAATACTAATATTGCAGAGCCAAATGATTTATGTCTTTAGCATTCCTAGCCTTGGCAATCTGTACTGTATGTGGAAAAGTACGTGTAAGTATGGAAACTGACTGTTAGAAACAGAGGCGGAAACAGAGTTCAGAGATTGGAAAAATAATAACATTACAATGAAAAGCCATGATTGTGAAAGGCAGTGTGGAATAGAGGCAAAAGCCAAATAACGAGTCTTTGGGCCAAGCTCACTTTAGTCACACACTGTAGTGTGACAAAGGGCATGGAGCTTAATCTTACAAATTTTAGTTTCATCATTTCTAAAATGTGGAAGACACTAGCCCTATAGGATAGCTGGGGAAGAGATACTCAATGAATATAAAAATACTTTATAAAATCTAAATATTAATAACTTTTAATGTCACACCTAAGTCCTTATATTTCTTTTGTTATGGATTAATATGATTTCACGAGTATGCTGGGCAAAAATTAATTATGCACACATTGGCTGGGCTCAGTGGCTCACTCCTGTAATCCTAGCACTCTGGGAGGCCAAGGCAAGAGGATCGCTTGAGGCCAGGAGTTCAAGACAAGCCTGAACAAGAGTGAGACCCCCGTCTCTAATAAAAATAGAAAAAATTAGCTGAGAATGGTGTTGTACACCTGTAGTTCCAGCTACTCAGGAGGCTGAGGTGGGAGGATCGCTTAAGCCCAGGAGTTTGAGGTTGCTTGAGCTAGGCTGACGCCATGGCATTCTAGCCCGGGTGACAGAGCAAGACTCAGTCTCAAAAAAAAAAAAGTAAAGAAAAATTATGTATACATTGATATGAAATTTAAATGAAAGATATTATTTGGGAGCCCTAGAGAGAGGCAAATTTCCTTCATTTTCTCAATAAGGAAACTGCAAACTGTGTATTACAATAGACTATCATGGTAGTGATCATGTTGTTTTTCAAACAGCTTTATTGAGATATAACTCACATACTATATAATCCACTCATTTAAAGTATATAATTCAATGCATTTAATATATTCAGCATTGGGGTAGTGAATACTTTTTAAGATTTTTGGTTCTTCAGTTTTATTAATTCATTTATTAGCTATTACAAGATTTTTGTGCATATATAGAGAACACTTAACTTTAAAAATTCAGTATCTCCCATTTCCTTCTTTTTTCTTTTCTTTGAGACAGGGTTTTGCTCTGTTGCCTAGGCTAGAGTATACTAGCATCATTATAGCTCACTGTGACCTCAAACTCCTGGGGTCAAGTGATCCTCCTCCTCCTGCCTCAGCCTCCTGGGTAGCTGGGACTACAGATGTATACCACCACACTTGGCTACTTTTCTTTTTGGGACTATAGGCATGAACCACTGCACCTGGCAGTATCTCCCATTTCTGAAGGTCTAGACACAGAAAAATGCTGGTGGTGATACTCTTATACTTCAGTATTATATTGCTCTTAGGTGACAATAGAAGCTTAGTTATATACTAAAGCAGTAAAGAATAAAATTCAAAATCATCAGACCGAGTAAAGGGAAACTTAACTTCTACTTCTAGCTGTTACTTACTAGCAGGATTTCTGCTAGTATGGTACAGGTGCAACAAGGTGGTTCCATTATCAGAGGGACCACAGGAATTGTCTGTGGATTGTGAAAAACAAAAAAACCCTGGATGATTCTCAGGTCCATTGTAGTTAGATGATCTAACTATCCAAGACAGAGGCTTGGGCATATGTTTTGTTTCAAAGCTCCAAAGATGACAAGGATAGAATCACTGCAATCACTATTCACCGAATGGATGAACTTACTTGGTTGTGTGACCCTAGTAAGTTGTATAACTTTTTTTGTGCTATAGTTTCCTCATGAGTAAAACAAGAATTCCTAAATGTTTCTTCTGGTTCAATAAGTTGTTAGTATTAAATGGGAAAACATGGAAATGGTTTCAACAGCCAAAAGTACAACAAAAATAAAAGCTGAATAATCCTTGTCATAATTATTAGCTATCCTCATGACTTGCTATCTTATCTATCATAAAACTGGGATCCAACTCCGTTTTGTTTCTCCAGCTGGTGAAGCAGATGCTCTGAGCAGAAGAGAAAGGGGATGCTCATTTGTATCATTAAAGCAAGGTCCCTTATAATGCAATTCTTGCACAAGTTTCCCTAATAACACCCTCTCTAACTTAGAGGTATACATTAATTTTTTAAGAAGGGAGGGGAGACCCAATGGGGAAAAGTCTCTTTTAAGTAGGATGGTGAAGGATCTAAGAAAAGGAGGGAAAATAGTTACATTGACATTTTCTAGTTCTTATACTGAGAAGAAAGCACACAGAGCAAAAGAAGACATTTAAAAACAGAACTACAAAAAAAATTTTTTGTCCTAATCAGTTTATGTGCAATTCAGATGCTTAAAAGATATGCAAAAAGAAGAGTGTTGGGAACATACTAAGTGCTCAATAAATATTGACTATTAACTTTTATTCTACCCTTTCTATAAAAAGGAAGTCATCATGATGAAGAGCAAAAAGCATGGGTCTGGGAGAACAGTCCTGGATTCCACTTCTAGTTCTGTCCATTTAGCTATGTATCCCCGTAGGCAAGTCACTAAAATTC